TGATGTGCCTTTGGACACGCCTACCTTGACGGAAACTTCCACTTCGGTTTAAACACGTCTATTTTGACAGTAACGCCCACTTCGATCTGAATACGCCTACTTCTATGGATGGTCCACATTGAACAGTTGACTTACTGTTTGTGACTGCTACATTGACCACCTCGTGCTGTTGCTACTTAGTCTCGATCACACACAACGTCGACCTGTATACCACTTGACTGCTAATAGTAACACAGGAGCAACCACGACCATGAACTTAATACACCTCTCACAATCAGCACTCATACGGTGATCTTAGCACAGCTCTACCGGCTTCTCACAAAGCATCAATGAATCAACTAGTGGTATCCGTTCATCGAATTCTATCACAGCTATAATTCTGGAGGCGGAGTACTGTAGTGTATCTACCACTACAAAAATACAATTCCCTAGTATATAAGATATATTAACTTGATTCCATGATGGGGTACCTTTTCATAGATGAAGGTAGACATTGTCGAATTCTACTCTCTCCACAATTGCTACAGATATCGACGTTATTTATTCATTTATTTTTGTTACATTGGCTCAGTTAAGATCATGCATGTCCGAAATTGATTCTTTTGCTAAGAGAACATACATTTTAATAGTATTAATATAAAAGTGCGTTATATGGCATAATTTATTTAAATTCCTACTACTAGACAGAATTATAAATTTACTTTAATATATTTACGGTGAATTTAAATTTAGACTTTATTGTTATCAGGGCTTTAGATATTTGTTGTGTTCCAATGCATTCAGAACTGATGGTATGGAGGGCTCTGTCTAAAAATGTGCTAAACTTAAGAGGCTCTCGTCATCTTGAGTTTTAGTTTAAATTTTTGATTTTTATTTTCCTCACATTTTTTTGTACTTTACAAACTTTTGATGAGATAGCATTATTCGACTGCACAATACCTTTAAAAAAAATCTGGGAAATAGAGGGGTTGACCTAAGCCCTCACATAAAAACTGTCAGCAGATGGCATTGCGATCGCAGAAAAAAAATAATAACTTTTTTTCCCCTCAAAACTTTCAAGTTAGTTGGAGGTTGGAATTAAGATTTAAGATGCGTCTTTCCGCAATAAACTGTTATTAACTTTCAACTGTTATTAACTTTTTAATAAAAGAAATTCATTATCATTTTTAATAAATTAATCATCTTTTGTACATTGTGGATTAAAAATAATAAATGTTTATTCAGAATTAATAAGATGTAATACCACCGCCTCATCTCCATAATATCTATCTACAACAAGAAAACACCGTAGAAAAAGGTAAGTTGAAACTTACCATTATATTTGACATTAAGAAACATGAATATATTAGAGTAAACAGGGGTCACTTAATTAAATGAGGAGAAATAGAGCTTAATAATTTTTAGAACTTCTATGGAATTTTACTTAAAACTTTAAAGCAATAAAAATACGTGATTCGGGGTTTCCATTCAGTCATTTAATTAAATGAGGAGAAATTAGAGCTTAATAATTTTTAGAACTTCTATGGAATTTTATTTAAAACTTTAAAGCAATAAAAATACGTGATTCAGGGCTTCAATTCAGTCATTTAAAACAATATATTTGTCGGTTTTTAGATTTTTAAAATTTCACATTTATTGCACTTTAAAATAATGAAAGCTGATTTAGACGATGCTTGAGGATTGTAGTCCCTGATCGTAAAGACCCGGCTCCCAGTAGAACACCGAAGTCAAACATCACTGGCTGAGGTCAGTAAGCTGGTGGGTGACCATTTGTATCAGTCTACGAAGGGACCGAGGTTGTGGTATTGGTCCCCGTTAAACTGTTCTACCCATAGATTTCTACCATAAAGACCTCGACTTTGCGTGCAGATCATCAGGCTACCAAAGCAGGGGAGCCATCCCCTCTGCAGAGGATCAAAATTGCGATGGCATGTCTTCGGATCATCCTCTGGCATGCTTCCCAGACCGTCGCCAATAGCCCATTGTGCAGCTCCAGTGCAACGTAAATAAAGTACCTACCTTAAAAATTTTAATAACGTAAATTCCTCAGAAACAAAGATATTTATAAAAAAGCTAAAAAGAAACAAATACATACAATTTTACTGCATATCAAAAACTGCTTTTTTCGGAACTTCCTAGGAATAATTTTGTCAGAAAAAATCGAAAGAGAATCTAAAATACCACACGCTTTATATCCCGAATTCTAGGTGAATATAAAGTGACTTCCTTGTTTTTTACATGCATTGAAAATTTCCGCGAACATAGTAAATATCAATCATCAATTTATTTGCTAAAATTAAATGAAGAAGTTTAAATGCAGATTTAAAATTTTCCTTCCCCGTCTTCTTCTATTTGACAGATTTGAAGGTAGATGTTGTTGTTGTTGTTAATTTACGTCGCACTAGAGCTGCTGCACAATGGGCTATGATTTGAAGGTAGATAGGTACCTTATTTATGTGGCCCTAGAGCTGCACAATGGTCTATTGGCGACTGTCTGGGAAACATCCCTATCCGAAGACATGCCATTGCAATTTTGATCCTCTGCAGAGGGGATGGTTTTCCTGCTTTGATAGCCCGACGACCTGCGCGTGAAGTCGAGCTTTTTACGGTAGAACAGTTGAACGAGCAACCTCGGTCCTTTCATAGTTTGATCAAAGTGGTCACCCACTCGCTTACTGACCGCAGACAGTGATGCTCGGCTTCGGTGTTCTACTGGGAACCGACTCTTTAGGCACTGCTGGACTAGATTTGAAGGAGAAAGAAAGGCTTCTTAACAGTTAAAAATAATTGTTACAGAATCACAACAGTAAAAAGATATAACAAGTGCTAAAAACACATCAAATCATAACACGACAGAGCCTTCGAAAAACAATTTTAAGGGTGGTCATTACGGATCGATGGTGACCATCACGCAAAATATTTGAATAATTGAAATTTAATCAATTGAATGTTACGCTTCAAAAATAATTTTATTCGAATTTTTACAAAAACGTTTTTCATCGATTTGAATAGATCAGATAAAGAAATAACTTCTAAGAGGCTTTCACAGTTAGTGAACAAAAACTTCCTGGCTAATGGAATATTCCAGAATAAAAGATGAAAATATTCTCTTCTCAAACATTCATTTTAGAAAGTGTAAAACAATAAAAGAATAATAAAACTTGTCAAGGTTTCAGGCGTCTTCCGACAAACGAACAAATAGAAGAAATAAGTTTCATTCAATAAAATATCATTCTTAGAAACAATTTTATATTTTACTTTTATTGCACTAAGAAATTCCTTTCTATTTCACGATATAGCCCCCTCCTATTTTTTTTTTAACTTACTAATATTCAATTGATATTTTAATTTGCGCATTTTGCTATTCTATTTAATTTCACAGACTTTTATTTGTTTTTTTTTTCATTAATGAATTATGGAATATCTGTTTAAGTCTAATTTTTCCTTCCATTTTCCAATTTAATTCCCCTCCCCCCCTATTTTTTGAAAAGGTGTTCATTTTAATTTGCGTTTCTTACTATTCGAATTAATTTAATTAATAATAATTTTTATTTGCATCCTATTTATGATTCTAGAGTATTTGGTTCTATCGATTTAGATAGCACTTCCTTCCTATTTTCAATTCAATCTTAACCCCCAACCCCTATTTTTTTTTTAAACTTCCTGATATTTTGGGCTCATACTTATATTCGCGCATCTTACAATTATAATCAATTTACTTAATGTTCATTATTTTTTTCTTTTCCATTTGTGGATTAAAGATTACCTATTTCAAACCATAATTATCGGAATACTAATTACTGGAAAATTCCTTTTCATTTTTAAATTAAATTTTTCTTCATTATTATTCAAATTAATTGAAATTATTCAAATTTTTTTTTATTTATTTTAGGAGCTGTGATTTTAATTACTTTCTATGTTTATTAATGTTAATTTATTATTTTCAATAAACTACACTTCGCCTAATTTGATTCAAGTACTATTTATTTCAGTTTTATTATTTATAAATCCTTAATTACAGGTTAATAATAAATTAATGAAATTGTTTTTTTTCCAATGCCCACCCAATTGACACTCGTCATTCAAGTATCAGTAAGACAGATTTGTTGGCTCCTCTTTCAGGGTCACCATATTAGGTGGGCCAATGTTGTTCCAACAGTAAGGACAGATAGTACAGAGAATGAAAAAACATCCATGTCTTGTCCGAGATTCGAAACCAGGACCTTTCTGATGTGAGGTCAGATCTCTGACTTCTACACAGTCCGGTCGGCATTAATCTAGCTATAAATGAGAGGTTTCGAACATGATTTTTTTTGGTGAAGTAAGAAAAGGAGTTTATTAAGAAACATCGCCGAGTGTGGTGACTAAAACGCTATCTTACTTTTTGGCAACCCTAATCAGATGAAAAACTAAATAATATCACTTATTTCTTTGGTAGATAGTAGCTTTTTTGTTGGCATTTTAACAAAAAAATTGAAGTTGAAGTCTTCTTCTTCTTTCAAATCCCCATTTCTAGCCTAGCTAGACAAGGTCCATAAGTTTGCTCACCTTCAAAAAGTCTAAAATAAGTAAGGGTCTTTCTATAAGGTCTTGTTTTAAAAGACCGAGGCAGTCCAGTAGATGTTCAGGGGATGCCTGGGCCGAAGAGCACTTGGTACAGAGGACAAAACACTTTTCTCCTCCAGAGTACCTCAGTGGACCTATTCATAGTGGGGTAATGGGAGCCTGCAGACTTTAGCTGGGCATCCTGGAGTGGCCTTCACGCCTTGGGTGGCCCTACCAGGAGTAAAACTCTCGACGTACTTCACCCACTCCGACCAGGGTCACTCCCTCGACACGTTGAGAAGCTGAAGTAATTGTCTTTGGTAACGTTCATTTAAGTACAATTTTTTTTTTTAAATTCCGTCATGTGCAGAAGTTTATTTTTAAAGGCTAGCGTAAGTAAAATTTGGAAATACACAATTCGTTAAAATTTCGTAAATAATGTTTTTTTAAGTGGAAAAAATGTAAAGGGCGAACGTTTGGATTTTAGTATTTAGATTCTTATTTTTAAAATAAAACGTTGAAATCAAGCTTAAAATGTCTAAAGAACATGACATTCTAATCCCAAACATATCATATCCTGCAACTTTGCAAGCTAGTAATCTGGAAGATAACCCGACTTGTAGGATTTGTTATGGTGGTCCAAACATTGGCCGACTTTTGAAACCGTGTAAATGCAAAGGTACATTATATTATTAATTAAAATATACATTTACAAAGTGCCACTCGCCAATCTCGCTGTATGCATTCTTTTTATTTAAAAAGTATTTCCTAACGTTAAACCACAAATATTGGTACTTAAGCATTATCCCATCGATCACTTTCGCCAACACCATGCCTAACTCCTTTTAATATCTCTCAAATTTGTTTTTACATAATAGACCACAAGAAAATAAACAAAATACAAATATAGCTTATTGCATTGCAAAAATGAGGAAATATTTAAATTTGAACCACTTCCAAATTGGTCATCAGATGTGACGAAAATGGTCAATCGGTTAACACGCTGTTGTTGTTGTTGCTAATTCCCATCTGGTCTGACGGGGTCAGACCAGATCAATAAATCCGTTGACATTAAGAAAATCCGAAACCAGAATGGGAGATGAATGAATGTCGTTCCAGTCCAGCCCTAAACAGTTCAAGATATGCTCAGGTGATGCCTGGTTTTGTTGGCATTTAGGGCAAAGAGGAAAGATCTTTTGATTTGCAGAAAATGTGAGACTTTTCAGGTGTCCACTGGCCAGTCGGGATAGGCAGGTGTTGGTTTGCCTGTCACCAGGGAGAGATAGAGAGAGTCCTGGTCTTTTTGCTTTATACCAGTAGTGAATAGGTGGAAGCAGCCACTTTTGTTTGTTCTGGGCCTTTTGCCTTGCAAAAAGTTCAAGGTATGTAAGCTCTGAGGTGGAGGGGACTGGATGGTCTAGTCCCTTCTTTGCGAGAGTGTCAGCCAACTCGTTGCCGTGGATATCAACGTGGAACGGAATCCATTGAAAGTGGACCTCATGCTGCTGGGAAATGAGCTTTACTTTTTGTAAGATCGAAAAACTGGTTTTATCTCCAATGAGGGCCCAAGGTTAATACGTTAAGTAACTAAGTATTTTTTATAGGATGTACGTCTCAGTTATTGGGTAAAATCCTAGTAAAGGTTACACGTTTGGTACAATTTTGAAAAATGTCGCCAATGTCGAAACAAAACGCTCTCGAATTTACAAGTTTCAATCTCAACCGCAAAATCACACCACGAATTCCGAAATGCAAAATGGCTAAAACTCAACCCAGCAACTACAGATTGCAAACTTTATCGTCTTCCCAAATAGCGCCAATGTCTCCGTGTAAAGTATACTAGGATGAAGCCCAGTTACTAAACTCATGGACATCATGGTGGACCTTAGGACGCTAATTGTTTTTCCAATAAAAATTGCAGTATTTTTTGTTAAAGTATTGTAGCAAACCTGCTTCGGTAAAAACTGGCAAAAACTGGCAATATTTTTTGCGCCAATTGTGTTTACGTGCAACACCCTGCCAAATAAAATGGGACCACATAAACAAAGGAGAACTAAAGCAAAAGTAAAACATAAAAAAAATTATAATCCGAATAAAATGCATATTATATCAAAATAAAACAAGGAAATTACGTAAAAATAAGAATCCGTGTTATCTAATATGCACAGTAAAAATTTCGACTTAGCTTTTTTATATTATTCTGTGCGGGTTGCAACATATTGGTGACTAATTTGACGATAATGCAAAAGCAGCCTCAAAATATAGTCTTAACTCTGCTAAATATGTTAATTTTAAATCTGACCACAATGCAAATAGATTATCGCTACATTGTTGAACTTGTTTACAATATGGACGAAGAAATTAAGGCAACGCTTTCGCTGATTTAGGATGCTCTAACCAAATCGAGTAAAATAATCAAAATTAAAAGCTATAATCACAAAAATGAACTAAAAATTCTTAAATTTGGTCAATTCAATTACAATTTTCTTTTATTGTTCTTTTTATTTTAGATTTGTAGTGATTAAAAATTTGTGATCTTTGCTTCTAAACTTACTTTGTCCCTTTCTTTGTACAACTTATGACACTAATTATACTATCACTAACTGCTTGTTGACAATCACGATAGAGAGAGTAGTACTGCGTTGAATACTTAACCATTTTAAAGCCTTGCTGACGTGATTTTTTCCGTCCTTTTTTTTCAAGCATTTGCAATTATTTCTTCTGAGAGTAACTTTGCAAAGAGTAAAGAAAAGCATTGCCTTCAAGAGCCAGTTGTGGGCCAGGGAAGTTTATGTTCTCCGATTTCACGACCAATGGCATGATTGTGTCAACGTGGTCAGCATTGCGCACAGGTCAACTTTACTTCCACGACGAGCTGGTACTCATTGATCCGAAGTTGGGAGAGTTTCATGCCGCCACTGGGATTTGAAACTCTGGTTTTAACAGTAACACAATAACAGTTCAATGCCTTTTCCACTCAGTCATCGTGGTTCATAAACTTTCTAATTGCCTGTTATCAAAATATATTTTAACAAAATGAATGCAACCCTAAAAGTGAAGATCAGTTCAACACACATGTAAAAAACCCAGTCCTGCTAGATCCTAGGTTTAGGGCTAGTTACAGTATAGATACTATAGAGCGGAATTAACTTTTGGTTACTGGCCACAAGGTGACTTAATCTGATTAAAAAGGTCAGCAGTTGCCACCTGATCGCCACTTATTTCTTCAAAAATGCACCCATATGCATTTTTTTTTATGAATCGAATTTTCGAGAATATTTTATTATATTCTGAAAATTACTTTATTTCAGATTTCTTTCTCAAAATTTTTCTTTATTTTAGAAATGGATCTTGTAATGTTTGATATAGTTTGAGAAATGTTTCAAAAGAAATGCCTTATCATAAATCATGTATCATTTCATCATAAACATTTGGGGATATTTTCTTGAATGTTCAAAAGAAATGCCTTATCATAAATAATGATACCATTATTATCACTTTATCATAAACATTTGGGGATATTTTCTTGAATGTTCAAAAGAAATGACTTATCATAAATCATGATACCATTCTTATTATTTTATCATGAACGTTTAGGGACATTTTCTGGAATGTTGACACTGACAAATTATTTAAAATTAAAAAAGTCTATATTTAATGAAAGTTTCAATTTCTTTTTTGAATAAAAAGTTTGCAAAGTTAAGCCATATTTTTTTTTTGCATTTTGTTTCATCAGGAACAATAGAATATGTCCACGGACGGTGCTTGGAGTTATGGCTTGAAACAACAGAACATAAAAAGTGTGAGCTTTGTCATTATCTTTTTAAAACTAGAAAAGTTCAAAAAGTAAGTAAAATAAATGGATTAGTAATGATATTAGTAATGATACTTTTCATAGTAATAATGCNTTTTTTTTTTTTTTTTTTTTTTTTTTTTTTTTTTTTTTTTTTTTTTTTTTTTTTTTTTTTTTTTTTTTTTAACATAATCAGAGCAATTACCCATACACATGCCCTGTCAGTGACAGGGCATGATTTCATTTTTCAAAATCAACAGCAAAATTTGTTAATACTCAATACAACTAGCAAAATCAGGTTTCATGCAAATATTTTTTAAAGCAGTGCCCCAATGCATTTTGCGATGCAGAAAATTCAACATAATCATTGCTGTGTGACTTATTGCAATGAAGCGATCACCGAATGGTCAATTTTAAATATTTATACTCCTTCGAAGGTTTAAATACTCAAGTGCGTTATTTCGAATAAGTCGGTAGTAATAATAACGAATTTAAAATTTCGAGATTTTAAAAACGGTGCAGAAATTGCCGTAAGACAACTATAATAAGTGCCGAGAAAATTATTCAAAAATGACGTTGGTTTCCAACGGCATAGTCGCGAATTGAGCACGTCAAAATGTGATTATTCAAATTTGAAATTCCAGTGTCTTAATAATATATTAAAAATATCGTTGTTATGGTCGGGCAATGGAGTAAGAGAATGACGTAAAAATCACCAATTAAGCACATCAAAAGGTCATTACTCAAATTCAAAATTGAGGTGTCGAAACATCGCATTAAGAAAAAAATCGGATTTTTCTTTATAAATAAAATCATATTGAAAAGGCCGAAGAATTAATCATAAATATCTCCTAAAATGAGGGGAATTTACAACGAAATCCTCGCAAATTGAGTACGTCAAGAAATTATTTCTCAAATTTGAAATTCACGTTTCGTGCTAACATTCTATTAAAGACATTGGAATTTTGACATTGGAATAATGTTATAAAAGAGAAAAATAGCTAAAATTATTGCCAAGAAAACGATCAGAAAACGACATGGATTAACGACAGAATAGCAGTGAATCATGAGCATCAAAATTTGATTACTTTAATTCGAACTTCGGGTGTCGCAATATTATTGCATTACAAATATTGAAATTTGAAAACAGAAATAAACGATAATCACTAAGGTCAAAAAGTGATAACTCTAATTCGATATTCGCGCGTACTAACAACATGACATTTAAGATATCGGAATTTGAAAAATCCCACAATAAAAGACAATTAAACGATCGAAAATCCAGACCGGTAGAAGTTATTAGTAATTTTTGCTACTGAGTTTTCTGTAAATAGGATTTGGTTTTTTGGCGACCAGACGGTCGAGCGGTTAGCGTGTCTGACTGCGAAGCTAATGGCTGCTGGTTCGAATCCTGCTCAGGGCACGGATGTTTCTCTCTGCTTGTGTTGTTCTCTATTGTGCGATGTGTGAATGTGGCCCACCCTATAAACAGGTATCTGTGGCAGGGTGGCGTGGGTAATGTTGCTCGCCTCAGTGACTTAGGTTCACAGGTGCCCACTGGGTAACGTTAAATGATTAATACTTCCGACATCTTCCTAGGCGAAGGACGGAAAAGTTCAGTGCCAGGCATTAGAAAAAAGAAAGAAAAAAAAGAAGGATTTGGCTTTTTTTAACTAGCAATTTGTTGCTTGCTAGTCACGGAATTGTTTCGTTAAAAATAATATTTTGAAACAAAATCAAAACTGGCTAAATCGCCAGCTTGTCTGATGGTAAATGTGTTCTTTTTAATTGTAATCTTCTGATAAACATAATTAAAACAGTAAAAACTACTATTTTGACCCTCTTCATTGCTTGCGTGTACTTTATAACTCTCTTGTCATCAAATACTTTTGATCCATTCGACTACTTAATGAACATAGAGCAGTTTTTAAAAGCATATCACATTTTTTATATTATGTTACTAATTTTGGAAGTTTCTTCATGTAAATAAATCTATTTCTTTGATAGAGTTGTTTGGAATGGTTCGTACATCCTGTCACAGAAAACTACAGAACAAAGCGAATGGAATACATATTGGCTTTCGCTTCCTTCACCTCCTCAGTCATTGTTCTGATATGGTTAATATGGAGATTTCTCTACCGCATTCTTTTTAACAGTGTCCAAGAATACAAGTTAACCCTACACTTTGTGTCTGCAGTGATATTACTCGCATCCATTTTGACGTATGCCTTGTTGTATATCATATGGACCATTTGGTGCATAAGGTAGATTTTTTTTATGGATTTGTAAAAGTTTTGATACATTTAATAATGAGCATCGAATATTCAGCCTGTGTTATAATCAAAGGCCTTATTGTATATGTTTTCAGAATCCTCATGTGTTTTTCGAAACCTTATATATCCTTGAATCCTTATTGTATACATTTTTAGGATTCTTATTGCATATGTTGTAGAATCCTTATGAATTATATGTATTTAGAAAATTCCTTATATGTATTTAGAAATCCATATAAATCCTTATATTATATATTATCCTTAGAATCTTTATATGTATTTATAAATTCTTATGTATATATTTTATCCTTAGAATCCTTATATGTATTTAGAAATCCTTTAGAAATCCTTATACATATATTATCCTTAGAATCCTCATATGAATCCTTATATATATATTGAAATCCTTATAAATCCTTAGACATATATTATCCTTAGAATCCTTATATGAATTCTTACATGTATTAAGAAATACTTATATATATTATCCTTAGAATCCTTATATAATCCTTTTAAGTTAAAATTAGTAGACACGAGAGAGAAATATACACGCCATCTAAATCTTTTGAATTACTAGTGAGAAGGGCAGAATAGAAAACATCAAAACCAGTTTGATGTTGCTCACTTAAACTTGGAAGTGTTTCTAGTAAATACCTTGAAACTCCTCTGTGCGTCTTATGGCAATCCAGGTGACTTTGATGCCGCATTTCCTTCTTCATTTTGACCAAGGATTCTAAAATTATGTATGAAAGGTTGCCATTACAGAACACCCTGAATGGCTCATCTTACGTCACATGGTAGAAAAATTACACATATATTAGGATGTCTGAAAATTTCGGGTCAATTTTGAAGAGTAAATTACTTTACTTTTTTTTAAAGTTATTATTAGTGCTTCGCTGTTTCGCAATATTTCAACCCCCCCCCCTTCAAGACCACTTAAAAACTCTCCACCCGTCTAAAAAGTCGAAGAATTTTCTGTGAGAAAATTTTATACTGCTTTTTTTTAGTCTCGATCAAAGAGTTGAAGTATTTTCCGTTATAAAATAGCTGGAAATCTGAAGGCCCAAGATCTGATGATTAGGATAGATTATGGTGCATATCCCAATCAAGCACTAACAGCCTTTTCTCGAGTTGTCCAGGATAAATGAAACTGTGCTTTATTCTCAAACATCCACGATGCTCATTAGATTCACAATTTCTAGACTCTTTATTTATTTTTTTATTTGCTATCGTTTGCTTGTCTAATTTTCAGAAAAGCTCTTCTGAATTCCGTCTCTCAAAACATTATGTATGGTAATTATTTTCAATCATTCAGATTTGTAAATATATAAACTGATGAAAATTCGTGCGAATTTTTAGGAAATCCTATGGAAATCTACTACATCTAAAAATTCCAGAAAATCACGAAAAAAAATTTTCTTAAGAAAAATTATGCAATTTCTATGAATCAAGTAGAACAATTTTTCATTCAGGAGAACAATTTTTTATTTCTATTTTCTGTTGCAAGAAATTTTTTTAACAGTTCTTAAATATTTACGTTTCGCTGGTTTCAAATCAAATCGCTCTTTCTCTATAAGCTTTTAAAAAAAAGACATTTTTAGTCTATTTTTTGTCGAAATGTACATTGCACAAAATAAAAAATAGACCACCCTTGATAACTTTTAACTTAATGATCGGATCTTTATGTTTTAGGACTCCATCTTAATGGTTCGAGGGATGGACCTCAAATATGCTAGTTAATTAGTGCAGACGATATTTTAAGTTGCAAAATCAGACACAAACAAGTACTTTCTCGGAATGAACATGCCTTTTTTTTATCGATTTCTGTCTCCGAAAATATAGGGGGTAGTTGCAATATGGGAAGCATATGGTTCCAACAGTCTGGTTAGGAGAGTAGTCCAAAGTTTAGACCCGTTAATGTTAATCTTAATTTTAATTTTTGCATATTTCACCATAACGGCAATGATTCCTCACTATCTCTCTATAGGGGGTGGAAAAGCATTTTACCATGATTTGCACCTCTCAGCCACAGTGTTTTTTCTTGTTCTGTTTCTCACCTTTATTTTTCCATATTTGGTAGACAACTTTAATTTTTATTTTTCAAATCACTTTTGTTTCTTCTTATTCACTTCTGGCAAGTCTTGAAAAAGGACGCTTGTTTTTGAGCTCTAGAAAAATGTCGACTGTTATTTTCAACTTGTATATTTTTTAAGCGAATGAATTTTTTTTATGAAAGTAATGCAAGATAGGTTTTCTATGTTAATAAAACTTTGTCAGAGAATCTTGACTTTTTCCATTATTATATTATGAGGATAATTTTATTCTCTTGTTTATGCAATTCTTACGAAGTTGTTTTAAAGACTGTTTGTTTTTAACTCTCTTAATAACATATTTTTGTGATTCGTGTAACTATAGCAACAGCTATTACAAATACCTTTACAAACATAAAAGTAGTGAGTCAATAAGGATAGAAAAAAAATGAGAAAAGACAGAAAGTGAAACAATGAACAATCAAATTGATGCGCCAATTAATTGACATTTTAATGAATCAGCTGAACATAAAATTTGTGAATTTGCATATTTGTGAACCAGAGAAACAGCTATTAAGGAATAAATATTGAATCATCCGACTAATGATGGCTGAATCAAAGAATTCGAAAATCATTGAATATATGAATCAGTTCATGAATAAATTTGAAAAAGGTTTATAAGCGTAAAATCTGTGCTATGACTCAGGCTCAGGGGATAGAGCGTTTGCTGGGTTCGAATCCCAGTCGATACGAATTACGCACCCGGCTTACACCGACCACAGTGCTGACGTGAAATATTCTCAGTGGTAGATGGATCAGGGGTTAGAGTCCCCTTGCTGTCGGGCTAAACGTGGGAGGTTCTCGTGGTCTTCCTCTCCATGTAACGTAAATGTGGGTTAGCTCCATCAAAAAGTCCTCCACGAAGACAAATTTCTCCCAATACTCGATCCAGGAGTTTCCTTGTCTTCTGGATTGGGCTCAAACTTACAAGACTGCGAAGTTGAACATTAGTGAACCCATAAAATTGGGGCGGCTGTTCAACGACGGTTATAAAATAAAATATAAAATATTTTTGTTGGCCGGGATAGCCTGGTTTTGCAGGACAATGGGCCTATGTCGAAGAGGTAGTGGGTTCGATCTCCTATAACCGAAGACGCCCCGTGTAGTAAATGCTGACTGATGCACGTAAAATCTGTCGAGTCACAAAGTCCTCTATGTTCTCATAACCTCTGGGGGTACTGATCCAGAAGCTTCCTGATCTTCTGGATTGGTTCAAAATTGCAAGGCTACGGAGTTTAACATTAATAGTCGTAAACCCAAAATTGGGTCAGCTGTTCAACGACGGTTATAAAACAAAATATTTTTGTTATATGCGTTCAATTGTAATAATAAATGTATTTTATGTAAAATATTTATTAATTTTCTCTATTTATTTAATTTATTTTTTAATATTAGAACTTACATCCACTTAATCGAAGATTGGAGAAATAGTCAAGGGGAAGTGGTTGACATGGAATCGATTGAACTTCCTTCAATTACTTCAGAAGATGAATCCGTGGCACAGCAAGATGTTTTAACACGCGAAGAAGTGTAATTATTTTACGTTGTTTGTATAAAATTTAACCATTTCCTTCCTTTAAAAGTGTCTTAATTATTAACATTTTAAGGTAAGTATTGTTGTAAAAATTTTGTTCCATAACTCATATGGTTTGATTTATAAATTAAGTAAAGATGTCTTTGTTGATTAGCTGGATTTGTGTCATTGTTGTGTTGCATTTAATTGTAGCTGAATACTTATTTTTTAAGAACTTTATTTTAATAAAAGCGGCACAGTGAAAAAAAGTACATTTTAAGGTAAGGTATAAGAGTTAATTAATAAAAACTATAATAGAATAAGATAGTTCTGCAAGAACATAAACAACTATGAAAATTTTTATTAAATCGGTTGAAAAATAAAGGAATTATCATATTTGCGAGTATAAAAATTGTTTTGAGAGAACGGCGTTTGAAAGTTTACGTATTGCGTTCAATATTACAACTACTCAAAAGTGCTGTAATTTATTATAAGGAAAAGGGTTCCTAATACATATAAGACAATCTTTTTAAAATTAAAATTAGAATAAAAGATTCATTATGATGTTGATTATTATTATATCTAACGTTTATGCATATATCATTAAGGATCAGTCAAATTTGCAAATTTTTCAAAAGCATCATAGTGCTATCTCAAGATAATTATAACAATAAAAATTTTTAAAAAGAGCTTAAAAATCTAGAAAAGGTGTTTTAAATATGGGATAATACCGAAACATATTAAATAGGTAAGCTCTAATAGTAATAATCTTTGGACCGCCTAGTTATTTATAGCTAATTTTAAGGTAAAAAAGAATCTGTAAAGCACAACTAAGTACCCACTAGCATTTGACTGAAAATAATACAATGACAATGAGCCGTAGTGGCTCAGGGGATAAAGCACTCGCCCCCAATGAGATGACCCATGGCTGGTCGATGCGAATTTCGCACCCAGCTCGCACCGACCACAGTGCTGATGCAAAATATCCTCAGTGATAGACGGATCATGAGTTAGAATCCCTTTACCGTTAAGCTGTAAGGTTTGCGTGGCTTTTATCACCATGTAAAGCAAATACGGGTTAGTTCCATCAAAGCAATCCTCCGAGAAGGCAAATTTCTCCCAATACTTGATCTTTTCGTTCCCTCTTTTTTTCTGAATTGGGCTCAAAATTACAAGAGTACAGAGTTGAACATTCGTAGTTGTAACTCGAAATTGGATCGGATATTCAACGACGATCATAAAATAAAATTGAATGACAAAAGTAAAAAAATTCAACAAAGGAAATTTTCAGACGATTTTGCCAACTCAAATCTTTACTAGAGATCCATGCAGGGGTTTGAAAAACTAATTTTTTTTTGTTGTAAACTGCAACTACTTTATTATAAATGTAGTTAACTGCAATTACAAGGTTCTTTTTTTAATAATGTAGTAATTATAATCTACTTTCGAACTAATATCACAATTATAAAATTCGTTTATCCAAAGATAATTCCACGCAAAAAAATAACTTTTAGTAAATATTTATTTAATTTTTCATTATTTACTTTAATGATAGTCGAGAAACTTCTGAACTGTAAGGTACACAATATTTCATATATTTTAAAGAATGAAATTTAACATGGTGAAGCACAAAATTTGAATGAAATCGGTCGAATAGTTCCTGAAAAACCATATTTTTTTTAAAAAAGGTCGTATTTTCAAAGTTCGATTTCTCAGGACTCCATTCTCCATGTTACACCTTTTAACATGTGTTATTTTGCTGAACTTTTAACAATGTTAATGTACTTTTTTGCCCCGTACTTCAATGTTAGAAGACGTACTTTTTTTCCTCGAATCGAAATATCTCGCTCCGCTCATTTTTTTTATCCCACCATTTATTTTTAATCAAATAAATCCATAGTTGCTTAGCAACGAAGGAGTTATTCCAGACATCGTAATCCACAGTTGCCTTTGGTGGAAGGTACTGTGAATCGAAAATTCCTTGCCTCTCTCATTTCTTCCCATCGTTTATATTTAATCAAATAAACCAGTCTTTTGCTTCACAACGAAGAAATTATCACAGACATCTGCTTTTGGTAAAACAATACTGTTGTCTAATAATTCCACAATTTTCAATATCAGTTTCATGCGCAGGTGAAATTCTCCTTGTTGACTCAACATAAAAATGTTACGCTTTTTCGCGAACTTCCAGAAAAGAAAAAAGAGGAAAAAAATACAGAAAGTGCGTGGGCGTTGAATCAAATACGGATATAACTATGTCAGAGTTTCCTTTTCATCCCTCGGAAACACCTGTCTGCCACAAACGCCCACACGACGTAAAAGAAAAGTCGCCCGTTTTCGTGCGAAACGAAGTTAGAAACGTCAGACATCATCCCCATATTTCGCCACTTATTTTTGTCTTCACGATACATACCTTTGTTATCTGTGGTGAAAAAAAAAGTTCCATTGACGCGTGATGTTTTTTTAAGCCATACTGGAGGTGTGTTTCGTTCCAATGCGTATTGCGTTAAGTAGTTTTGATTAAATTGTTTGCTTTTCCATTTTAGTGAAAAAAGTTTTAAAGATAAGTTTTTTCATGATCACTTCATAATATTTATTTGTTCTCCAAAAAATCGTCTGATTTCTTACAACGCTAGTTAAAAGATACGTTTATTTTCATTACATATATCTATTTATTTGAATAAAGTTATAATTAGTTTCAAGAAGAAAAGAACAACGTTTTATGCAACAAGAATTAAAGGTTGCTTCTTACATATATATATTTATTTGATTGTGTATAGTTGAGTAGCATTATTATGTCTTAGAACAAAAATTTAAAAGTGATTATTTTATGTCTTATTTGCGAACGCAACGATCTATAGGGGGCGTTGTTATCTGAGACGAATTCCTGGTAGCAGAACAACAGGATCATCAGTTTCACTGGAAATTTTTTTCAGTGTAGCATGGTAATGTTCCATCTTTATTCGCATGCAAGTGAAAACAAAATGGAATATCTTTTTTTTAAAAAATGAAACATCCGAAACACATCGGAAAATATTTGTAAAAAATCTTGTAATTAGAGTTAAAACCTAGAACTTGAGAAATCGTTCAGCTAAATTTAATGATCTACTGTGAAAGGTCTATTTAAATTTGCATTCCATACTTTTCTGTATCATATTACTTCAAATATTAAAATCATGCAAATAGTATACAGAAGCACATGTTATACCATTTAATTTTGCAAAAAAATGTTTTCTGACAACAATTTTTATCAAGAAATTTAAAGTTTCAATAAAAAAATCATTATAAACTAAAAAACGTAAAACAAAGAATGCTTGCGATAAAAAAAAAGATTCTAAAAATTCCTCGTATTGAAATAAAAAACTTTCATATTGTTTCTTCTTTCTAGCCTTAAAGTTCTTCATCAGACGTAGGAAACCATTCTGTAGAGAACTATCATCAAATTAGAAAAAAGAAAAAAAAATTCGTAGCACATTTTTTATGATAAAAATCATAACACTTGTTTTATAAATCCGGAGAATTCCAAATGAAATTTTCTTCGTTTGAAAATTTTATTTTCAAATAATACATACATAGATTATCTCTTCATTACTTTTAGATGACTTACCATACAACAAAATTTTATTATTGTAAGATCTCGATATGCATTTCAATATGTAACTTAAAAATAGAATAGCTGAATTCTAGTTGGAACTATTATTTAAAATTAAAAAATACTTACCAAGAAAACGATAATCTTAATAAATAAAAGCCTGAAAACATACTACTAGCTAGAGGGCGTGTTCAAGCGCTGCCATCGCGAATAACAATAGTTTAAAGTTTTTTCCACAGAGAAATATATAAAATATTTCCACTCTAATGCTAGAGCATATAAAAAGATCAGGTGTTATTGAGACACTAAATGGTAACATTTTCGCCCTAACGGTTTTAGCGCCACGCTAAGACGAAAAGCTTAACTACCAGTTAGATTGATGAATTTATCGTTTTCTTTTATTATTTTTGATTGGGTTGATAAAGCTTTCTTTAAAATAGTTTGGTCATTTGTTTCATTTTAGTTCCATGAATTGCTTATAGATGTTGATTTGTTAAGTCAACGTTTTTCTCGTTCTTAAATTTATTTCACTGTTAAATAAAATACATATTTATTTGAATGACATTGACATGCATCATTACGCATTTTAAGCTAAAAAATAAATTGCGGAAAAATGTTATTAATGTCCTATTTTATTTTTATTTTCTCTGTTTATAATAGAATTTATTATATGAGAGATTAATACTTTTAACATATTATGTAACTGAACTGTAAAATAAAAATTTAGAATTGATTAAAAAGTTTTATGTTTCTATATGTATAAATAATACGAAAAACTTTCGACACACTATCATAAATTCACGTAATTCAATCTTAATAAAAAATTTTTTTGAAATAAAGCATAAAAACACAATTTAAAAACAATAAATCACAAAAAATTATGATGCTTTCACTCATGCTGCAAATATAATCGTAGAAAAGTAAAGGAAAATATGACAGAGGCCATAATGCCGTATTTATATAATATGCCGTAGTCTGTCAACTAATCCCCCCTGCTGAATCAAGAGTTCTTGCTATCTAGGAACTCTAACTGAATCAACTGTTTCTGCTTTGTGTTGTAGAAACTTCGAGAAACGCGTCGCGATGACGTCAGAGATTGGATCGTCCTTAAGTATTATTCATGGTTTTGTCATATTAGATGATATTTAATCAAACAAATTTAATATTAATTGAGAAGTAATTGAATTAATTATTATTAATATTAATTGAGAAGTATTAATAAATAAGGAAAGTTAATTTTTTTCCTTATTTATTTGAATAACATTAATATGATCCCCTAAAAATTGTATTATGCCTTATCACAATAGCAAAGAGTTATTTTTTTTACATTTACTTTATGATATTTATTTAAACTACCTTATTACTAATTGTCTTATGTCTTACAAAACGTCCTTTTCTTACTTATAAAGTACACTTCTACCAATAATAGATTGAAACGAAATTTCAGTGTAAAACCATAGACT